AATTGTAGGGTGTTTTCTGAGATTCCAATGTATTGTGAATATAAAACATAAATATGTTCCATGTCCAAAGGAACATATGCTGGAGACACATCACAAAGTGCTCAACTGATTGATGTTTATTGGTACAAATTTTTTACCAATAAAAATTGGTTTTTTTAAAAAAAAAATCAGTAAAACACCATGAATACAGCACCTTCTGCCATGCCTCCAGTTTCTTCTGCAGATTTTATTAAATGTTCCCCACTTTCTGCTTCTTCATATCCAAAGTAGTCTTTGTGTTCACAGAATTAAGTGTGTCCCATCAAGTTATCCAGATTCAGAAAACAACCCATAAAAATGAATAAACTTAAAATAAAATCAGATAAAATGAAATAAAATAAAACATACATGTCTTGTGTCTTGTGACTGCAATGAATTCCAGTGCCCCCACAATGGAAGAAATTTCAGTTTCTCTCTGAATGACGCCAACTTGCAACTGGGGATGGAATTAAAATTCATCAATTTCCCAAATGGGATTGAATTTGGAGTTTCTGAACCAGGGACCGGCAACCTACGGCCCATGGGCCGGTTAAGGCCCAGGTCCCTGGACTTACTGGCCCAGGCAGAAGGTTGTCGCCGTGTGTTTTTGGCGCTGTGCGGCCACGCACGCTGCAACTGCCATTTTGAAAATCGAAATGGCGGCTGTGCGCACGGCAGCAGCAGCACGTGGGGGGCACGAGCGTGCATGCTGCCATTCCCCCCCCCCTGAACCCTCAAGAAATTTAGCCAGGAATTAAAACAGCATGTCAAAAGTTTCTACAAATTGCGAGAACCTTTTTTGGGGGGGGGGTTGGTTTTTGTTCCTGGTACAATATAAACTCTGCAGTTTTTGAGGACTTCACAAGAGTTTGAGAAGCTGCACAGCTTTGCAGTCAGAACCTATACTTACAGTCTTTATGATGGACAGTTGTACAGGCTCCCAAGGGGGGGGACCCTCACTCGTTTACATTGTTTTTTGCTATATACTTCAGAAAAGTGCATAAAATGCAAAACTAAATTGCTCACTGTAGCCTTATACAAACAACATGGTGAAATGTTCGATGTTGCAGCCTTTGCCAGTTTCAAAGTTGCAGAACCCAGATGTTATGAAGCAGGAAAAGAAGCTTGGCTAATTGAAGCTATGGCCACACATGGCTGGATTTTGAACATTTTTGTCATGCAGCATTGTGCAACATTTTTGTTATGCAACATTGTTGTTTTGTGTAGAAATCAGCAATACTATGCAACAAAAACATGCAAAATCAGTAGTGTTGTACAAAGATAGCCACTAAATTGAGTTGCAGACTGCCAGAAATAGTGCAAATTGAGTCCACTTTTAGGGTTAGGGTTAGGGTTAGGGAATCATGGGAATTGTATTTTATTGTGGCACCAGAGCTCTCTGACAGAGAAGGCTCAATGTCTCAGAAAAAAAAAAACAATTCCCATGATTCCCTAGCACTAACCCTAACCCTTAAAGTGGACTCAATTTGCACTATTTCTGGCAGTCTGCAACCCCCCTAAGTTTTGTTATGCAATATGGAAGATTTGTGCAACATTTTTGTTGTGCAACATTGCTTTTTTAAATATAGAAAACAGCAATGTTGCATAACAAAAATGTTGCACAAATCATCCATGTTGCATAACAAAACTGAGTGGCTATTTTTGTACAACACTACTGATTTTGCACAACACAAAAAAATGTTGCACAAAATCAGCAATCTTTCAGAAAAAATAGACAAGGAGTTTTGCTATGCAACATTGTTGATTTTGCACCTTGCTGTTTACTATCTTAAAAAACTATAATCTTATTTTTTTCCCCTCCTGTATAATTTTTAACACCTTTGCCTGATGATGAACCCAGTAGAGCTTCAAAAGTTTGCAACATGTATTTTGTGCATTTTGGTTGGCCCAAAGATATCACTGTTTTGTAGATTTGGGATGTTATTATACTTAACTATAAGGCCAGCATGGCTACCCCTGGATATGTTTTCAAGGGAGGACCTGTACATAGCAATAGCACTTACATTTCTATACCACTTTATAATGCTAAGCACTCTCTAAGCAGTTTACAATCTGTAAGCCAATGGCCCCAACAAGCTGGGTACATATTTTACAGACCTACAAAAAGATGGAAGGCTGAGTCAACCTAGAGCCTTGCAGAATCGAACTCACAACGTTTTAGTTGCAATACCAGCATTAAACCACTGTGCCACCAGGGCTCATATATGACTGGGAGTGGTAATTTGGGGATATTGCTTGCAAATTTTTAGGTGACCATCTCTGTAGAATGCCTACACTGTTGACCTGATTCTGTATAGGCTTTAGCAAAATGGATCTCAACGACAATGAACCTTCTTGCCATCTACCTACATGATTTGGGCTGTGCTGTTGCAGAAGTGGAGGAGAGGAGTGGTATTTTCTTCACTGTAGTTCATGTGTTTTATTATTTGTTAGTTAGTTATATTTATAATCCCCTTTCCTCCAATTAGCTCAAGGTAGCATGCATGGCTCTCCTTGTTCAGGCTGAGGGAGAATGACTACTGAGTCACTCCATGAGTTTCATGAATCAGTGAGAACATGAACCTGGATCTCTAAAGTCCCAGTCCCTCACTGGAACTGAAGGATGGGCAACTGTAGCACTTCCAGGACTGCCAGAAATACCAACAAAAACAAAACAAAACAAAAAAACAGAAGCAGCCAGAAGACTTTCCTGGCTTTGAAAAGTGGGTCTCTTTAACAGGGGTTGCAAGCTAACTAAAAGATGAATTGCTGCTCATGGAGGCTTCCAGGAGAGGCAATTTAACAACCACCTCCACCACCTCCTCCTCCTCCTCCTCTTCCTCTTCCTTTTTTTGGCCAGAATAACACTCTACTGAGTCTAAAGGGCCACGGAAACAGCCTTGGAGATGAATGTAAGCCACCCCTAGCTAACCAGTACATCTCTCTGAAACATAAGTCCTAGTCTTTGTGTGGGGAAAAGAAAAAACAGGAGCCAACACAACAAGAGACCCAGTAGTTGCTTCAACAGGCCTACCTGTTCACATAGCTTTTGACAGCTGAGTGATTGCCAAGGAAGAGGAGTTAAATACTTCAACAAGTCACAAAGACAGATTTAAACTGGTTAAAATAGTTGAGAACAATTTAAAATGATTTACATGTGTCGATCTGTATAAAAGTGGATGTGCTTTTATAATAATAATAATAACTTGTATCCCGCCTCTCCCTGAGGATCGAGGTGGGTAACAGCAAAAATTAAAACAATTACAGAAATAATGATAAAAAAAATTATTCCCGAACCCCCCGCCCCTTCGACCCATCCTCCCTTCAATAACAGTGGCAATGTCTAGGGGAGCTAGATCAAATGGGCAGTTAGTTCAGATCAGGACAGAGGTCAGTCTGGGACCTTTTAAGTCCTTTTATTTCAATTGAGTGTTTAATTGAGCAATTTAAGTGTGTTTCAATACTACACCTTTATGTGTATTTTTATCTGTACTTTTATCTGTACTTTATTAGTTAATTTCATTATGGGCCGGCTTGAACCCATTTTTTCAGGAAGTGGGCAGGCAGGATGTAAATCAGGCAGTCAGAAAGCGAAAGGTCTTTGAAGAAAAATCTTTCAGTGGCCCCATTCACACTATAGAAATAACCCGGTGTGAAACTGGGTTATTTCCACGACGTTCAGACTGGCCCCTAATGCACCTGGCGCCGTTTGTGGTGGGCCTACAGAAAACCCCACTTAACCCAGTGCATTTGACACTGGGTCCCTTACCGCGACTTTTTTTAAAATGCTAGAGCAATCCAGATCTTTGGTAGTGTGAATATGCAACTGAATCAAGCCAGGTCATGCAGCAGCAGTACAAGACATGGCAGCAGTGCCATTTTTTCTACAGTGGGTGCTAGTGTGAAGTGGGACAAGGTGTAAATTGCCTCAGAGAGATTCAGGAACATAAAACGTAGTGACAATGTTGATCTGGT